GGGTGAAGAAGGTGATGAACAGTGACTTTTTTCCTTTCCTTTTCTTTTTTTATAATTATTTTAGGTTTTAATAAGTTTGCTGCAATTATCCCATAGTTTTTTGGACTGATTTGCATTTTAAAAAAGTTTAGGAGCAAATTGTAATTTATTCTTCATTTTTCTTTTCTTTTCTTTTTTGTTTTATTTCAATTGGAGGGTATATCGGTCATTTTTATGTTAAAAATTAGGGAAAAAGACGTTTTGCGCCAAAAAAAATCAAAGGTAGGGACGTTTTGATTCAAAAAATCAAACGTATAGACGTTTTCCACAAACAGAGGTAAAGGTAGGGACGTTTTGCACCAATTACCCTTTTAGAAATTATTATTATTCAATAGGTGCGTCTCTTCAAATAGTGTCACATCTCTTGTGTCTTTTCCAAGAGTCATGTCTTTTGGAACACAACTTTCCAACAATTATATATAGACTTCCTCATAGTTTTGCAACACATGATCCATCATCCATGCATTATTATACTTGCATCATGCATCAAGTAAATTCTGCAGTTTTTTTAATTGGAGTTTTATAGAAGAGAGTTAAAGACACAAGTAAGTTTGTCGGTCTAAATTATTTGGAGCACTCCTATTACGGGATGTGATAGTGTATCTTGGAAGATGATTTCCGAAAAACCATTAGCACCTTACGGGACATTATCGTCTTAAAGAGAAAGAGTAAAACTCTTGTCTCGACCTAATTCATATTCATGCATCTCTCGTTTTTACTTTTACATATTTGATATTGGCAATTCAAAATTTTGTCCGCTTTTATGCACGTAAAATATTAGTTATCTGAATATAATTTATGCACGAAAATTTTTCCAACAAAAATATGAAACTTTTTGGTGATTGAAAATGGTAGACTAAATTCTAAAATTAAGTTTGTATGTCTGCTTCTGGGTGTTGCATTAGACAGGGAGAGAGATATACTTGATGGGTAATATGTCATTGGACTACCTATTTAGAAAATGAAACGCCCATTTAGAGAAACTCAATTTATCGATTTTAAACTTAAAGACACACCTAAAATTCAACTGATAGAAGCAAATCGAGACGTGAAGGCTACGCCTTGGACGTGCACCCACAATGGGCCATGCACTTTAACACTAATAATATGCCTTTAGTCATTAAAACTGACGTTTCTCTTTCGCCAATTCAAGAAAGGCATTCATACTATATCATGCCTGCCAGAAATCGTTTAATTTCATCATCACCGGCAGCCTCGCCGCCACCACCAATTCCAACCGGCAAAGGGTCACGTTCTGCCGTGGATCCAGCTTTGTCCGAATACATAGACAAGTCAATACATATCCCAGAATTGACTCTCCCTGAGCATGTTCATAGTATAAAGCCACTTGATATTGATTATCAATTGCTCATATCAATGGATGATGATAATGACTCGATCAGTCGGCTGTCGACATCGGCTAGGGGACTCGGAATTTTTCGGATTTTTGGGCATGGAATTTCTAGTGAGGAGTTGAGATCAACATTAGTTGATAGTGAACAGATATTTGGACTGCCAGTTAAATGTTGCACAAATTATGGAGATCATGAGAAGTTTGTGTGGTGTGATGATGATAAGGAGTTCATAGAGAAGGGTAAAATTGTTCTTGGAGAGCAAAAATTTCAAATTTTTAGGTAAAATTTATCAAGTTCGAATTTCATCTATTTTCGCATTTTTTGGTTCGTGACATTGTTTAGGTGCCTTTCACATTTAGGCCATGTTTGGTACGGATTAAAATCAGATTTTAATTTAAGTCAAAGTCAAACAATCAATATTAACATCTTTCATAGATCCCATATCTTTTCAACTATACATTTTAAAATTTTCTATCACAATCTACTGAAAATCTAATTTTAATTCTCACCAAACACCCACTTAAATTGGTAAGACTTGAATTTTATTTTAAAATTTCAACATTTTAAAAAATTACACTTACAAAAGGATCATCTGGAAAATTTTCAGCTTGTCAACTTCATTTTTTCTCCACTCTAAACACTAGTAATTTTTATAAATAAGTGAAGCTAAAACTTAACGCAGTATATTCATCCGATCCAAGCCATCAAAGACCAAAATGTATAATTTGGATCCGTTTGTTAGGAAGACCAACGAAAGAACAAATAGTTGATTTTAAAAGAATTTATTGTCAACCTCTTTCAGATACGAATCTATCTGATTCAGACAGAAGGGAAGAATTTGCATTCGTATCTCGGTTTCATCCCACGTGCAAAAAGATGGATACCTTCATTAAAGCTTCACAAGTTGAGATTATTTACACTATTTGCAGGCAAAACATGGAGAATGTTGCCATAAAACTCAAAGCTATTGCAGAAGAATTGGCAAAGGTAATTGCTCCAAGTGCTATAAACCAATCTCCAGAGCAAGTTCAATTAGGAGAATCCACAATGAGCATTTATAGGTACCATCGAGCTAATATCATCGATCGAATCCCCTCACTAGTCGAAGAAAAATGCCAAGAATCGTGTCAATATACTTTGAAGCTCCATCTTCTACTAGAGTCCGGCGAGTTCTGTTTGCAGTCGGAGTCGCATAGTTCGTCATTTGGCGCAAGCAACGATACCATTGTTGTCACTATGGGGAAAGAGTTGGAGGTAATTTAATTTAGATTATTATTTCTATACAAAATTGGGTCATGAATTAACATAATTTCATTTTGAATTGTTAAATATAGGAATGGAGAGATAGGGAATTGAAGTCAGCTGGTGGGGAATTACTCTTCAGGCCTTACCTTCAAACAAACCACCCATCTTTCTCAATTGAACAGAAGTGGTCATCTTGCAATTTGAATGGAATTCAGAATGATTCTAACAAGCGAATCTCAGTGGTTGATCAGATCTTGATTCTATTGCTAGCGGTATTGTTATACAATACTTTTACTTTTGTTTACTCTTGAATCAAACCAAACCGAGTCGACCCAATATTAGTCGTGTTTTGTTTCACATTGTGTGTCGTGTTATACTAAAGTTGGGCGACACGTTTGACAATGTTGTCGTACGAAAATTTGTCGCGAGGATCATTGTGTACTGAAAATGAAAGTTTGAGAGATTTGTGTACATTATTTGTGAAAGTTCGAAGATACATTTCGTGGATTGTTAAGTTGAAAGGCTTCTTTTGGTCTATGTGATATTAATGTATAATAANCTTCTTTTGGTCTATGTGATATTAATGTATAATAAATAGACATCAAAGTCTAAAACTAGTCTCCAATGTATTCTATGAATTGATACTTTAATTTTCTTAAAATAAAATAAAATCGCGTTTAAATCAAAATAGGAAATATAAATTTGCAGAAGAATATGTGGCTCAAGCAATTTGGGGGTCTTGGGAAAAATCGACAAATGAGCCTTTTTGATAACAATAATAAAAAAATTAATGGAGCAAATGATCATGGATGGAAATTCCACTGTGATCAATGATGATACAACAGTTAGCGATTCTGTTTGAAATTAGGGCCCGTTTGATTGCGAATGTGAAAAATGGGTGGAAAGAAAATGAATTATAGGAAATTGAATTACCTAGAAATTGTTTTAATGAGAGTTGTAATTAATTGTGTTTGATTAATATAATTTTTCACATGAAAAATGTTGAAAGTTTAGTATCCGTTTGGCTTCATTTTTTATGAAAATTATCCATTAACGTGATAATTTTTCTACCATTGGGTCTATAATTTGTTCCAATTGTCAAAAAAATTTTTTTTTATAAATTATCATACCGAATATCATTCGTTTGGCTTCGTTTTGCATAAAAATTGTCAATAAAAGTGATAATTTTTTTTTTACCATTGTGCCTATAATTTTTTCCAATTGCTAAAAAAAAAATTTTTTAAATTAATTTTAAGAAAAAATAGTAAAGCAATTCCATTTTGCCAAGAAAATGGATTCCCACAACTTTGGCTAGAAAGTCAATTCCTTAAAAATATGAAAAATTGGTTGATGTGACACAAGTAAGGAAAGACAATTTCAGAACAAATTTTGTCAATCAAACAAGTCAAAAGTGTGAGAAATGAAATTCATTTTCCATTTTCCTTGGAAAATTAGGTTCATTAAACACAACCTTAATTTATGTTGGTGTTTGAGATAGAATTATTGATAATAATATTATTGATAATCTCTTATACGCCTTCATCAATATATACCGACATTAATGCACTATTGTTGTCGAGAATCACTAATGACACTTTAGTCAGCGACGAGAATTTGTCATCGATCATGGATGATATGACTGTTGGTGGACTTTGATTGAAATCAATATTTGTTGGCAATTTATACAAAATTATTGATAGCAATACCGTTTGTGATTAAATACATACCTTTGTTAGGTATTATCAACAACAATGTCGTCGCCGATTCTATCAAGAATCATCGATAATGCTTCGATCCTTACGGAAGCCATAGATAACTTGTTCGCTTGGAATATTATACCGCAAGTGCACGGGTCGCGTTCAAGTAATAAAGTGGACTTTTTGAGTCCGGGTTGTCGATCCCTCGAGGAATGCTTACTTTGAATTACACGAATTTAGTTAATTTAATTTTGACAATAAGAACAAACAC